AACTGTTCTCTTGTTCATATTCCAGACAGAATAAATCCCAGATGATTAATCTCATATCCCTATCCACATCAGGTATTACAATATAAAAAAAAATTAAAAAAAGAAAAAAAAAAGAAAAGAAGGAAGTGTGAAAAGCTCAAAAGCTCTCTAGAATAATTTCTTTTCTGCCCTTGTCTGGCCTCCAGTAGCTGATAAAAGGAGTGGGACCATATATAGGTGAGGAAGTGGTGGAAAAATGCTAGTGGAAGCTTTAGAATTAGCTGAATTCTGAATTAAACCAAGTTTTTTATTCCTTATGTGAGTGGTGTTGTGGAGTTTTGTAGGAGCTAACAGATGAGATGTTTCAAATAACTCTGACTGCCAGAAGACCCAAAAGCAGATGAGGCTGCATGTCAAATCTTTTCTCTCCTACATCAAAGACCTAAATTACCTTCTTCAATTATTTGGTCAGGTTGATTTAACCATGGATAACAAGGCTGTCCCTAGATAAAGTATTCACATTCTGATATGGCTTTAACTGTTCAAAAGAGAGAAGCATATATTAATTCTTTCTTTGTTGTGGGTCCTGCCATATTACCCATGAATGAGGCTCATTTTCTTCTAACTTCTCTAAGTTTGAGAAACTACATGTAACTTAAGAAAAAGGACAATAAGAAATTTAAGGAAAAGGCTGCATGTAGGAAGGCTCAGCATTTTAGACTGATATAGAGACACTGTTTTTATCACTCCCTGTTCTTTAAATGTTTAAAGTATAATTTCAAATCTATATAATTGCCTTACTTGTTTTATGGTATATGAGGTTCTTGACTGGGATACAATGCTATGGAAGCACCATTGGAACCCTCTCATGTAATCATGGTTTTGTTCAGATATGGGTTCATAAAGATTACAGTGGAGCAGCAAAGCCAAGAGTTATAATAATTGGTTCGGGAATGAGTAATAGGGAACAGAGCACAGTGTTAATAAGAGTGGATTGCATAATTTTAAAGCCAAAGTGTTGTTTCAGTAAGAGAACCCTTCACAGCAGGAGTTCTGTCCATGTACCACTGACTCCTACTATGCTTCCCCAGACTCTGCACTTGCACTTTTTGTTGTTCCCTACTATTTACTGCAGCATGCAAGAGTATGGAATGGTAACAGATAAAAATGGTCCCATAAAGAGCTACAAATTAATAGCCTGAATATATGTGAATTTAAAATCTTCTCATTTACGTTGGTCTAAAAAGCAATAATTATGTTTATGCTGACAGTAAGACGATGCAACCTTTTGATAATTTCTTTTGCAATTTAACATCACTAAGTATTTTCCATTCAGTCATCCAGCCCTTGTCCATATAGCCAAGATTGGGCCATTTACAAAAGCTTGGCCTTCCAGCATTTATAATGGCACTAAATTTTATACAGACCCACAGGTGTTCCCAGAAATCATTCCAAACAAGAAACAGACTTTCTAGACTATGATAGTGCATTTGGAAATGAGAAACTGGGTTTAGAAGTGGTGCTTTTCCAACCATTACCTATTGCCAATAACCTACAGTGGCCCATCTCAACCAAAATAAGTGCTGGCTCATTTCTGTGGTCCTTCCTCCAGCATTTCTGGAAGATATTCCAAGTATGAGGCAATTCAGGCATTGGTTACTAAAGGCCTTTGGAAAAATGTGTCAAGAGTAAAAGTATCACTCTTCAAAACTGCAGAAACCCTTAGGAGGGATATTGGCTCAATACAAGAAACTACTTGCGCTGTAATATTTATTTTCTTCTGTGCTTATAAAAAGGCCTATAATGGCAATAACCCTGGCATTAGAACACTGGCTTAATGATGGCTCAACTTTCTTCAAGCCATCTTTTCAGCTGGTCATTAATCCCCAGCTGGTGCCAAAGGCTTTTGGCTGTGGTATGTTTAATTCATGGAGGTTACACAGATTGCTTCCTGTGAAGATTTGCAGATGTAAATTCAGGAACAAATTAACCTTTTTGCATTTTTGGCTAGAAATCTCCAGCCTTTTTGACATATTTGTCCATGGAGAAAAATGACTCAAACTCTAGAATCTTTGAACACATCTTACTGCAGAAGAAAACAGAGAAGGGAGTGGAAGGAAGGGTAAGGGAAAGATAGGCAAGGGAATAAACTTACATCTCTTTGGCACACTGGTTCCCCTTATTTTCTCGCACTGACATGGGGTAGCTATGATTTTTGTACCCTTGTAAGAGCTTTACTTTCACTGTAATTGCATGTTTCATAATAGTTTGGTTGTTTGTTAATTTGTCCTCTTCCCTGTAGCTCCACTGGCTTTGCAGACTGGGCTGTATGAAAAGAGTTGGTGCAGGTGCCATTCTGTCCATGGCAGGTGTCATTCTGAGTCAGGGATGGGGTGGGGATGTTGGCTTTTCATCCACAGATTGCTTTATAAAGAATAACAAAACCCTCTAATATCAAGGTTAAGAGCTAATCTTTACCATAGCTGTAACATATAGGAGCACGATCTAAAGCTATTTATCAGTGCAGAGCAACATCAGATAAAATTCAGGATGAAATTCCTTAGCACTTCAGTGCTGTTTCTTTAGTAAGCATTGCCAGATTTCTTGCTAAACCCTCTCTCTTTTGATTTATCTATTGCCTGCTTTTCTCTTAACATTACAAAAGGTATTTAGTGTGTGCAATTAACAAAACATTTCATTCTGCTTGTTTTTAAAGTGTTAACCTGTAAATAGAAAATATGAAGTATGTGACTTTCTGTTGTTTCAGAGCTGAAAGTCTTCTGCCTAAACTTTGTTTTTCCCAGTTACTGTATCACTGAGGAAAATTAAAATTAAAAAGCTTACATTTTTCACCCTCCTGCTTGTGGCTCCTATGCAAGAATACCTAGACTATGTACATCAAAACTGGTTCAGGTACAATTGATTATCCAACAATACGTGTCTGGGCTCTTCAGAAGAAGAAATGTGATAATACTGTGTTTTATTTTATGTTTCATCCTGCAGTTGAACCTGATTTAATCTTAAACATTTGGATGCTGAGTTAATGATGAAATACGAATTGAGAGGTGAAGACAGATTCTGTATACCTGGGATATAATTCCACAGTTACATTTGTAGTCATAGAACTGCAGATGGTGTGAAAACAGTGTTGATTAAAATAATCAGTCTAGCACTTAATAGCACTTTAAGTTTTCAAATACAACACATTAATAGATTAATCTTTGCCACACCCCATGGGGTATCTTCCTTTGCATTTCCTATATACATAAACTGAGAACTGCACACAGAGGTGATAGACTTGAATTTAATTTGTTGTACAGCTTTTGATCTCACTGAGTACTGCTCTGTGACAGAACTAACTGATTTCTGGTGATTTTTAATTTCTTGCTGAATTTAGTCAGCCCTGTGAGCCCTTGTTCACTTCATCAGCAGGCTGGATAAAGTAAAAAGGTAAAGAAGTTGTCTCTGTTATGAAAATTTTCTAGCCCCTTTCCTCTCTCCTCCTTAGATTGTTCCCCAGTCAGCAGAGCAGACAAATTAGTGTAACATGGGCCAGTTCAATAAGGCCTAACCAGTTTTAGCTCCTTCAGCTGGTGCATTGGCCACAGGCTTTACAAGTTACCTTCCTCTCCTTCTCCTGTTACCTTTTGCTAGGATGGTGTGGAGGGAAAAAGAAAGCTGCTGTGATGGCTGAGGCAGCTGGGCTGTTTACAAGGAGCAAAATAAGTGGATATTGTGTTGCTTAGGTACCAGAATCATTTACTTTACTGTGGAAAGTGTCTTGTGGGGGGATGGGAATCAAACAGTAAGGCAGGCATTCTACAGTTGATGAAGGTGGCTTTTGGACTGCAAAGCGTGTTGTTATTGCATCATTTATCTCAAATAAATAATTGAGGTCCAGCAACTCCTGACAGGAAATGACATGAAGACCAGCCTTGCTTTAGGCTGAAGTAGAAGCATCTATCATGTAAATGAACTCTGAACCATGCCAGCAGGATGCATACATTGAAAGGATAATGGCTGGATGATATATTTTGTTAACCTAGGCCTTATTTATCTACTTCAATATTTTTATTATTTTAAACAAGCAGCTATAGTGATAATTGCAAAATGTCTATACAGTAGAAGAACATCATTATATAAAGGGCTTCAGGACATCTGAAACCATAATCAGGTACTGAAGGATTAGCTGAGGGATGGTCTAAAATTTGCTTATAATGTTTTATAACACTATAAATGTTATGATTAATCTTTTTTCTTCCCCATTTCTTTTAAGTTGTGTTATACTTTTCTCTATAAGAAGCCAGCACCACATTAAGGATGTCCAAGTCTTGGATTTGTACAGCCAGATTTTGCTAGCAGGGGAGCTACAGGGATGGTTTCTGTGAGAAGCTGCTGAAGCTTCTGCCAATTCCAGCTGATTCCAAGACAGATGGCCAAGGCTGGCCCAATTAGAAATTGTGGTAATGCCTCTGTGTTAACATATTTAAGAATAAAAAAAGGAAGAAAAAAATGATTGCATGGTTGTAATTGTGTCCAGAGAAGAACAGAATGAGAATATGTGAGAGGAGCAACTCTGCAGACACCAAGGTTAGTGCAGGAGTGGGAGGAGGTGTTCCAGGCACCGGAGCTGAGATGCCCCTGCAATCTGTGGCGAAGACCATGGTGAAGCAGCTGTGCCCCTGCAGCCCATGGAGGATGGTGGAGATGCAGAGATCCACCTGCAGCCCATGGCAAAGACTCATGCCAGAGGAGATGGATGCCTGAGAGGAGGCTGTGGCACCATGGGAGGCCTGTGCTGGCACAGGCTCCTGGCAGGGACCTGCAGACCCATAGAGAAAAGAACCCATGCTGGAGCAGGTTTCCTGATAGAGCAGCCTGTCCTTGAAGGACTGCACCACATGGAAGAGTGAGCTGTGTTGCAGCAGTTCATGGAGAATGTTGCCTGTGAGATGGACTCAGAGAGGTTCATGGATAAATATTTCCCATGGGAGGGACCCCATAGTGGAGGAGGAGAAGGACTCCTTTCCTTGAGCAGCAGCAAAAACAACATGGGATGAAGTGACTATAACTCCTGTTCCCTGTCTCCTTGTGCCACTGGGTGAGTAAGTAGAGCTGGGAAGGAGGGAAGGGTGTGCAGAAGGTGTTTTTAAGATCTTATTTTACTTGTCATGATCCTGCTCTGATTTTGTTAGTAATAAATTCAATTAATATCCCAAATTCTAGCCTAATTTGCCCATGACAATATTTGGTGAGTGATCTCTCCCTGACCTTATCTCAACCCAAGAACCCTACATTCTGCATTCTCTCCCATGTCTATTACACCTTTAAGCTGAAACAATCTTCTAGATTTCTCATCAAATGTCAACAAGATATTTTCTATTGCCTTATAGGACATGTTCTCTACACAGAGACAGCTGAGATAGACTCTTCCACAAGGTCTCCTTAGAGATGATAGACAGGAACTAGTTAAACAGTATGTGGAGGGAGTAAGAAAATGTGCTGTTCAGTCCATCTCATCCCCTTATATTACAGAGTAGGTAAGTGTTTGTGTCTTGAAGTGCTGAGAGATCCCAAATGAGATCCCATCCCATAAACTTTGAGTTTTAACATTTACAGTATGTATTACAAAAAATGCAGTGAACTTGATTTGAAAACCTTTGGGTTTCGCAGTAAGAAAATGCAACTGGTCTGTTTCCCATTTAAAATTGGGCTTCTCATTACTCATTAAGAATCCAGAATTGTTTCAATCTACAGTTTTATGCAGCAACTGTTGCACATCTTACTTTATGGAGAACAGATCTGCTTAAGAAGGCACAACTTTGTTTCTTGATAAGATAGTCTGGTAAGAGGAGCTGTGTTGACATCTACCTGCACTTCTCAAAAGCACTTGACTTAATACCATATGACATTCCAATTAAAAAATTAAAATGATACAAAATTAATGTAGCACATAATAAACAGATTATAATTGTCTGATGGATTTCAAAAAAGGAATTGTAAATCAGGAATCATCATCCACAGAGGGTATTTCCAGCAGGGTTCCATGGGAATCTTTTTCAGTCTAATAAAATTCAGAGGTTTTATTAATAGTTTACAAGTGAGGAAATCAGTGCCTGTAAAATTGGCAGAGGAAGCAGCATTAGTAGGAGTAAACAGTGGTAAAGTTGGATCATTCGACAGATCAAGCTAGTTAATATGGAAAGTGGGTCTTATTTAACCAGCACAAGTGCAAGGTTGTGTGTTTGGGAACAAGGATAATAGGTTTCACATGCAGAGGTTGCTTCTAGAGAAACAGTGACCCTGAAAGGAATTAGAAGTCAGGATGGATAATTGACTGAACAAGAGCGCTCAGTGTGATGCTGTTGCTGAAAACTAATGTGACCTCAGATGAATAAGCAGAAAATTGCTGAATAGGAACAGCAAATCAGAGAGTATGACCCTACAGAGTGATGGGGTATTTTGGAGTCTGGTTGAAACCATTAAATGCATCCCTGGTTTGGGAGTTGAGCCTAAATCATGGGGACAAAAGCACTGTACAGTACAGCCCTCTGAACAGGACATCCTGAAGAGAAGACACCTGAGAAAGTTCTCAGTCACCAGAGAACAGTTTGATTTGAAGCCTTCCTTGATATAGAATCACAGATTCACAAAATAAGCTGAGTTGAAAGGAACCCATCAGCAACCACCCTCCTTCCCTCCCTCCCTTCCTCCCTCCCTCCCTCCTTCCTTCCCTCCCTCCCTTCCTCCTTCCTTCCTTCCCTCCTTCCCTCCCTCCATCTTCTAGAGTAAATTGCTTTTAATTTCTCTTAAATATTTAAACAACCTCCATTTGATGTTTAGATTTAGGGTGATGCTGATGAAGCCCACCACCATGTGGAGAGCCTGACAGTGAAATGGCTGAGATATTTTGTGCTGCAGAGACCTGGAGAATTTATTTCTCTCCTGTTGAAGATTTGAATAACCATAGCAACCTGCTGTGAATCTTACAGCTTGAAGTGTTGCTGATATCTTCTTTTCAGGATCAAGGTCCTTGTCCCAGCTCTACCAGGCTGATTCTGGAGAGATCAATGTAAAAACAAGAGAAGAGTTTCTGACAGATATCTTTTAACACAATTTTTTTCTGTTCTCTTTTTCTTTGATTGTTCATGCACTGGTTGTGGATTTTTTTTTTATTACTTATTTAAAAGAAATCAGTGTGAAATGTTTAATTTTTAATATTGGGTATTCAAAGAAAACTGCACAAATGCTTGAAGAGGTTATGTGTATTTTGTGGAGAGTGAAATCCAGCTAATGTAGAACAGCTTGCCTGCTTTAATTAGATCCACTTCAGGGAGTTCAGTGGGAATATTACTGACCTAGTGAGAAAAAAAGAAAACATGTATGCTAAGGTTAGGGGTAGGATTAACCTCTTTTAGCCTACAAGAAGCACAAAAAGTTTTGGTATAACGTCAGTCTTTTTGACTGTAAGTTGAGGTCTTCTCATTTGCTTTGAGCTGTGAGCCTGTGGGAATCAGGTGCCATGTGGTAGCTTAAGTCTGAACTGACTCTGTATATTTAGATTAATATTATTTTAGCTCTCCAGCCACCTTGTTTCAGTCTCACCCTCATAGGTGAGAGTAAGGTTTGCATTGAGTTACAGGCTTGCTAATTCAAATAATGCCTATTGCTTGTCTTCTGGTTTCAGCTGAGTTTCTCTGGTGTAAAAGGTACATGACTGAATTCAAGAATTGTTAATTGGGTATGTTCTAGCAGATTTTTTTTTACTTTAAAATGTCTAATTCTATAGTCTGTATAGACTGAAGTCTTGTGACAGGTGCTGCCTGCCTGCCCTCCAGACTGGCAATACCATGTCATCACATTCCTTTGGCAGTAGTCTGTTTGCTGAGGCTGTGTTGAGTATGTGTATGTGCAGCCTCTGCTTCTGGCCCCACTTGCCTTTGCTTGATTCAGTACACAGTCAGTGCAAACTCAAGTCTGCCAGCAAGCCCTGGGCAGAGGTGCCAGAGCAAACGCTGAGAACTGAAGATACACAGCCACAATTATTAATGCATTAGAAACCATCCCACTGGCAAAGAAAGCCTTCATGGCAACATTTCACTAAGTTGTTGAAAACTCTTCTTCTTTGCCTGACTCCCATATAAACAAAATAATACATACTAATTCCCTTGTGATGGATAGGTACTCCCTCTAACAACCTGTTGGTCAAGTGCTTCTGCACACAGCAAAAGGGTGTTAGGTTAAAGCATCCAAATGGCCAGTACAGATGGGTTTGGATGTAGAAAAGGCTTGTGCACCATGAAATGTGGAATATTGGTGTATGTTACGACATGCCTGACAGGACAATAGGCAATGGGCACAAACTGAAACACTGGAATCACTGAATCACGAAATAGTTTTTCACAGTAAGGTGATGAAGCATTAACAGAGAATTGCACAGTCCTGGGCAACCAGCTCTACATGGCCCTGCTTGAGCAGCAGAGGGGTTGAACCAAATGACCTTTAGAGATGCCCTCCCTTCAAACACAGGATCACCATTCCATGATCCTGTGTTGATAAACCCTTTGTGACCTTTAGTTGATAACACTATTAGAAGAAAATCTGACATGTCTGGCATGTGGCTTCTGGTATTTGTGAGTCTGTCCTTTCTGTAGGAAGCAGAGACAAAACTCAATATTCCTTGTTATATTTCAACTTACAGGCCTCTTGGCCCTCTACAGCTGTCCCATCTATATGAATATTTCCTTTACTCTGGAACTGTAAACATCATCAGAGGGCTCTATAAAGTGTCTGGAGATCTCCAGATTACAGGCATTATGGGAGTCCCTGTTCTGTATTATACTGTACCAAGAGTTTTCATGCTGGTGAGACTGGTATGTGGGCATTAACTTAGAGCCAGGAAGGCATTTCTTTTCAGCTTGTGGCAAATAAAACAAACCAACAAACAAACAAAAAGTGCCAGCATGACAGAGCAGAAAAGCCCGTTTTCCACAAAGCTTTTGAAAATAAGCACTGCTCCTGCGCTGAGACTTGTAATTGGAGTTTTATCTGCCCAACTCTCCCATAGGTTTTAAAATGCATATCTGTGCTTGCCTATATACTTGCTCACGCTCCTGGACTTCATCACCTCGTGCTGACACAGAGAGGAGTGGCTGGAGTCCAGCACATCCTCCGCTTTCCGCAGGCTGGGAGGATGCTGGCGCTGGGTGAGGAGCCCAGCTGCCACCAGAGAGCACTGTCACCATACGCTTGCCGGGCAGCTGCTGCTGCTGCTGCTGCTGCTGCTGCTGCTGCTGGCACCGGCTTTCCCTTCGCGCCGGCAGCAGCAGGAAGGCTCCTAAAGAAGACCCGGAGTAGGAAGCCTCTGTGCCATCTTTACCCCTGCTCTGCCCCGTGGATCCGTGCTGGCAGGGCGTTCAGGACAGGAGCAGCTCTGCCTTGGCGAAGGGCAGCCGGCTGCTGGCACAACCCTGTGTGCTGGGCTTGAACCCAGGGTGTACCAAAACCTGGGCGTTCTGACACCCTGCTGCCTCTTGTCCACAAGGTGTTTTTTACCCAAACCAGCTTCATTTACACTTGGTAAAAAAAAAAAATCTTCCTTATCTGTCATATTAACTCAAAATCGTATTGCTTCTGTTTCAGACGTGAAGAAAGACTTGTGTGTTCCTATAAACTTATTCGTGTTTCTTTTATTTTGCACACAAATATAGCCTCACTTGCATTCTGCAGCAAAGCTACTGAGGCTTCGAGTCCTTGAACAACTCAGGAACACAGCACTACTGAGGTTTTCAGTGATCATCCATGTGGTTTGCACACACCTTATCTGTCTGAAACCAATGCACCATGCAAGCCTAATAATTACTTTGAAATTGGATGTGTCCTTTTTTAAGAATAGCAAAGAGCTCTGCAGATGGTTCAGCTACCTGCCCCTGAAATAAACATACCTGCAGGTGTGAAGACAGCATTTAGTTCTCCTTCTGGGGAGGCTGCCAGACCAAATTATAGTCAGAGTTATCCCAGTTACCGTGAGATATTCACTGCTAAATGAAAACAGTTAGAGGTCCCAAGAACATTGTGTCAGAGCAATGTTTTTTGTCCATT